AGGTGCAGAATGATCTTCGCAGCGTCTACAAGTTGATTCGCAGACAACACCGCTTGTCTAAGTCTTCCCAACTTCAGTTCAATGCCTTGTACAAGGAAGTTATCCGTGCTCTTAGCATGAATGAAAACCAAATCATGCCACAAGAGAATGGTTCTGGAAAGAAGTCAGCTAGGAACGGTGTTAAGCGCAATGGCAGTCCCCGCACGGGCAAAGTGGAGACAATTCCTTTTCTGCATCTCAAAAAGAAGTCTGAACATGGCTGGGATTATAGCAAGAAGCTTACGGGTGCTTACCTCGACGTACTGGAATCTGCTGCACAGGCAGGTCTAACCTTCCAGGGCAAAAACGTTTTGATGACTGGTGCTGGTGCTGGCTCTATCGGAGCAGAAGTGCTGCAAGGTCTGATCAGCGGTGGCGCTAAGGTCGTTGTTACCACAAGCCGATACTCACGGGAGGTCACTGAGTACTACCAGGCGATGTATGCCCGCTACGGTGCTCGTGGTTCTCAGCTTGTTGTGGTACCTTTCAACCAGGGTAGCAAGCAAGATGTGGAAGCACTTGTAAATTATATTTACGACACCAAGAAAGGGCTTGGCTGGGACCTGGACTTCGTTGTTCCATTTGCCGCAATTCCCGAGAACGGGCGTGAAATCGACTCTATCGACTCAAAGTCTGAACTGGCTCACCGCATTATGTTGACGAATCTCCTTCGGCTCTTGGGCTGCATCAAGACACAGAAGCAGAGCAACGGTTTTGAAACACGTCCAGCTCAGGTCATCCTCCCTCTATCCCCTAACCATGGTACCTTCGGAAATGATGGCCTTTACTCTGAGTCCAAACTCGGGTTGGAGACGCTTTTCAACCGCTGGTACTCCGAAAATTGGAACAATTACCTTACCATTTGTGGCGCTGTTATCGGATGGACCCGGGGCACAGGTCTAATGAGCGGCAACAACATGGTTGCTGAAGGGGTTGAAAAGCTCGGCGTCCGCACATTCTCCCAGCAAGAGATGGCCTTTAACTTGCTTGGTCTCATGGCGCCTGCGATTGTCAATCTTTGCCAACTGGACCCTGTCTGGGCCGATCTTAACGGTGGTCTACAGTTCATTCCTGACCTGAAAGACCTCATGACGAAGCTCCGCACCGAGATAATGGAGAAAAGCGATGTTCGCCAGGCAGTGATCAAGGAAACCGCAATCGAAAATAAGGTCGTCAATGGCGAGGACAGTGAAGTCCTTTATAAACGGGTGATCGCTGAGCCTCGTGCCAATATCAAGTTCCAGTTCCCTAGTTTACCCACCTGGGAAGAGGACGTGAAACCGCTCAATGAGAACCTCAAGGGCATGGTTAACCTGGACAAGGTCGTTGTCGTCACCGGCTTTTCGGAGGTTGGACCCTGGGGTAATTCTCGCACGCGCTGGGAAATGGAAGCCTATGGCAAGTTTTCTCTGGAAGGTTGCGTGGAGATGGCATGGATCATGGGCCTTATAAAACATCATAACGGCCCATTAAAGGGGAAGGCCTACTCGGGATGGGTCGATGCAAAGTCCGGAGAGCCTGTAGATGACAAGGATATCAAGCCGAAGTACGAAAAGTTCATTCTCGAACATTCTGGTATCCGGCTCATCGAACCTGAGCTATTCAAGGGCTATGACCCCAAGAAGAAGCAATTGCTCCAAGAAATCGTCATCCAGGAGGACTTGGATCCTTTTGAAGCATCGAAAGAGACCGCAGAGGAGTTTAAGCGTGAACACGGTGAAAAGGTGGAGATTTTCGAATTGCCGGAGTCCGGCGAATTCACCGTGCGCCTTAAGAAAGGGGCTAGTCTCCTGATCCCGAAGGCCCTTCAGTTCGATCGTCTGGTTGCTGGTCAAATTCCTACTGGGTGGGATGCCAAGAGATACGGCATTCCCGATGATATCATTGAACAAGTTGATCCAGTCACTTTGTTCGTCCTTGTCTGCACTGCCGAGTCAATGCTTTCAGCTGGCATCACTGATCCTTACGAGTTTTATAAGTATGTTCACTTATCCGAAGTCGGAAACTGCATTGGTTCTGGTATCGGAGGTACCCATGCATTGCGAGGAATGTATAAGGATCGCTATCTGGACAAGCCCCTGCAAAAGGATATTTTGCAGGAATCCTTTATCAACACAATGAGTGCCTGGGTCAACATGCTACTCTTGTCCTCTACGGGCCCAATCAAGACACCAGTGGGTGCTTGCGCCACGGCAGTCGAATCCGTTGACATTGGCTATGAGACGATTGTGGAAGGAAAGGCCCGCGTCTGCTTTGTTGGAGGTTTTGATGACTTCCAGGAAGAAGGGTCTTACGAGTTTGCCAACATGAAGGCTACCAGCAATGCTGAAGATGAGTTTGCCCACGGCCGCACCCCACAAGAAATGTCACGACCCACAACTACCACTCGTGCTGGGTTCATGGAGTCCCAGGGTTGCGGTATGCAGCTCATCATGAGCGCCCAGCTTGCGCTGGATATGGGCGTACCGATCTACGGTATCATTGCGCTGACGACCACGGCTACTGACAAGATTGGTCGCTCCGTTCCCGCTCCCGGGCAAGGAGTTCTCACCACAGCACGAGAGAACCCTGGCAAGTTCCCTTCTCCATTGCTAGACATCAAGTATCGCCGCAGGCAGCTTGATCTACGTAAGAAGCAGATCAAGGAATGGCAGGAATCCGAGCTACTGTACCTTCAGGAAGAAGTCGAGGCTATGAAAGCCCAAGCCTCCGAGTCTTTCGACGTCTCCAGTTACATGCAGGAGCGGGCTCAGCACATCGAACGCGAGGCTGTTCGACAGGAGAGGGATGCTCAATTCAGCTTTGGAAACAACTTCTGGAAGCAGGATTCGCGCATTGCTCCTCTCCGTGGTGCTCTTGCCACTTGGGGTCTCACCGTTGATGACATCGGCGTTGCCTCCTTCCACGGTACCTCTACAGTTGCCAACGACAAGAACGAATCCGACGTCATTTGCCAGCAGATGAAGCATTTGGGTCGTAAGAAAGGCAACGCCCTTCTGGGAATTTTCCAGAAGTACCTCACTGGACACCCTAAGGGCGCTGCTGGCGCCTGGATGTTCAACGGCTGTCTACAGGTTCTTGAAAGTGGATTGGTCCCCGGCAACCGAAACGCCGATAACGTGGACAAGGTGATGGAGAAGTTCGATCACATTGTTTACCCGAGCCGCAGCATCCAGACGGATGGCATCAAAGCCTTCTCTGTCACGTCGTTCGGTTTTGGTCAAAAGGGTGCACAGGTTATTGGTATCCATCCTAAGTACCTCTTCGCTACATTGGACCGGGCTCAGTACCAGGCCTACAAGGCCAAGGTAGAGGCCAGACAAAAGAAGGCATACCGCTTCTTCCATAATGGCCTGATCAACAATAGCATCTTCGTCGCTAAAGACAAAGCTCCTTACGAAGATGACCTTCAAAGCAAGGTCTTCCTCAACCCTGATTATCGGGTTGCTGTTGATAAGAAGACCTCGCAACTCAAGTTTCCTACCCAGCCTCCAAAGGCCAGCGACAAAGGAGTTGAGAGCACAAGGACAGTGGTCGAGTCGCTCGCAAAGGCCAATACTTCTGACGACTCGAAGGTCGGCGTCGACGTGGAGAACATTGAAAGTTTCAACATCGAGAATGAAACTTTCATTGAACGGAACTTTACTGCAAGCGAACAAGAATACTGCCAAAAGGCCGCGTCTCCTCGGTCATCCTTCGCAGGACGTTGGAGTGCCAAAGAGGCAGTTTTCAAGTCCTTGGGTGTTAGTAGCAAGGGCGCAGGTGCTCCACTGAAAGATATTGAGATTTCAAGCGATTCGACTGGGGCGCCCGTTGTCAGCGTAAGTTCTTCCATGTCGCTGTTCAAATAACCGAGTATCTTTACTGACGTGTGATGTAGCTTCACGGTGCTGCAGCTGAAGCCGCCAAGCAGGCTGGTGTCAAGCAAGTCAGCGTCAGCATCAGCCACAGTGATACCCAGGCAGTCGCCGTCGCCGTCTCCAAGTTTTAATGTGCTGATGAGGATTAATGGCCTGGATTTTTGTCAGGTACCTTGATTGTAATTTATCATGTCTCCTTGACAACTTCTTTAGACAGCATTAGATTGTCAATACAACAGGTGTGTAGTTTCAACAATCCTGGTACCCCTTTCATCTTCAATAGGTCGGGCTTTCGCGCCGCTTCGAGATGCCTGCAGTTCATGTACGAAACACCAGGCTCAATATTCCAGTGCCTTGTACGTCAATTACGCAGAATCGCACTGCAGGGATGTATGAAGATAGTAAAACTCTGGTTATACAGGGGGCGCCTGTCGATTAATGTGTCTGTAGACTGGGTAGGTCTGGCATGATGGTTTATTATAGGGGGGGCGCTACAGGCATACTGGCCAGGCTAACTGCACATTTTTTTCGTTCTCTGTCTACTTTGTCATGAATGGTTCGCTTTTAGAAACTTACTGTCTTGAATATAATGATATTCAAGTCTATACAAGAAGTCTCAGGCTGTTAAGTACAGAATTTATGTAGAAATGTATATAAGAATTTATGCAGAGACTTGCGTAGAGACTAATATAAGTCTTTATTTAGCTCTTATTCAGAGACTCATATAGGGATATATATAGAAGTTTATACAGACTCTTATTCAAGATTCTATTTAGAGATTTATTTAAAGATCTTGTAAATATATCAGTCTTTTCTGAGTCTTTACATAAATTTCTATATAATTTAGAGCCTATTTAAAATCTTGAAGAACTATAGAATATGATATTCTTCCTGGTAACTTCCTAAAGTAGTAGGCAGAGAGTCAAAAAAGCGTGCGGTTAGGTTAGCCTGGCCAGTGTGTAGCACCTCCCTATTATAACTAACATGCCTCCCCTTTCACTCCAATGGCACTACGGGACGGTCAGCCTGAACATGAGTACCTGAAGGCTGCTGCTACTAGTAATAAATGCTAGATGATTGCCTGCAGATGGTGAGTGGTACACCAGAACTTATAGTGCATTCGCAGAAGTCTAAGATAAGCGGCGTCTATATTGAGTTTTTTTATTGTAGACCAACCAAATCCATCAGTCATTATCTGCTTCCGGACGCTCGGCTTAAAGGACCCCAGTTCTCACGAGGATTGATTTGATAACGTACCAGTCGCTTCTTGGTCGTCTCCTTACCCAAAGCCTCATCGAATACAACCTCTAGCGTGCTGGGGGCAACTCTAGGACCGTGGAAAGGCTTTGTGTCCTGAGCATCCTTCTGCATTCCAGGTTTGTTGAGCTGAGGACCCGACACGGTTTTCCCTCCTAATGCTTGGTGGGCACGGGAGCGATATAACGCAGCCTCGATTTTGGTGATCATGTCTGTAGCGTCCTTTGCCTCCTCGGTGGCAGCCTCAATTTCCGATTTGAGATGAGCTAGGGAGGTATCTTCCTCACGCTCTTGAATGCTCTCTCGACACTTGGACATAATAACGGCACCGGGGCTCCCGGGCTTCAGGACGCCTTCTTTGATGGGAGATTTCTGCCTCACCCATTCCCTCATGATTTCCCAGGTCACCTCCCAAGGAGCATCCGTGCGAATTGTATTCGGCCTCGCATGACTGCGAGTTGACCGATAGCCTAGGTGTCGAAGAGCTCCACGCATGGCGTCAATGGAGACGGTTGATGTATGCAAGACCTTGGACAGGGCGCTGAGGCTGAAATAGAAAGGGTACTCATCACGGACGGCCGGATCCAGCCGCGGGATTATGGCAGAAGGATCACCGAGTTGGATATCTCCACCAGCTGCGCCGGTAAGTTCCGGGTCTACATCTTTCCTAGAAACTTCTAGGGTTAGATCTTCCTCTAGTGCGGTGGTCAACATGCCCTCAATCCTGTCAATGGTCTGGTACACATCTTTATCTGCGTGGGGGAGCATATCAAGGACCCTCCGAATAAAGTGAGCATTATGAAGGGGACCGGCCCACATAGGGCCACTTAGATGAGTCTTAGAACCGCAATGGGCACAGCGACTATCTGCTGCTGGCCCCTGAGCAAAGCCAAAATGGTAGAAAGGGTCACCCTTCTTGTCCAGCTTCTGTTTCGTCTGAGTTATAGGCTGAGTCGACCATGCTCCACAGCCAGAATCGCAATTATAAACCATCATCATATTTCCAGAAGAAAACTTGACTTCAGCCGGAGAGCGATGGACACGAACAAACACTCGAGCATAAAAATCAATCGATAGAGATAAGAGTGGCTCAATTGCAAGGCCATATTTCGCTGCAGACATTGCAAGCCCGTGTAAGATAAGACGCAGCCCGCCTTCATGGCAATGTGGTCCTTTGATGGGAATTCCACCATACAGGGCGAATGATTTCTCGGGATACCCATACGAGGCCCAGACGCCCGCATCAGTACAGGTCACACAAAGAAGGCCACCGTCTTTGACTCCTTGGACCGCAGCGTCCATGAATGGCGCAGCAGTGCCATAAGGGTCCAGATCGATCACATCGAACTTTCCAGTGTGGGGTTCGGCGATTGGAGTGGTTCCCTGGTGCTGGAGGCTGTACATGTAAGCGCGCGCATCCCCGGTATTGGGTCGAATATGGTCGCCGAGATTATTATATTTAATGTTCAACTTCATGGATTGAATTGCCGAGGGTGACAGGTCATTGGCGACAACATAGGAAGTGAATGGTATCTCCGATGCATATCGCAGCGCACGCAGACCCGTGGCAGAGAGGGCGTCTAAAATGGTAAAAGATGGCGCCGCGTCCTGCTCTGCGTGCTGCGAAGGAGCCTGGGAGCACCTGCTCTTTGCTGTGGCCTCGTCTTCTTGGGTTGATTCTTTGCCACGCCCCTCTTCCCGCTTGCGCTTCTTGCCTTTTGCGGAACACTCCGCGGCCTTTTGTTTCTTACGTTCGGCCTTTTGTTTCTTCAAAGCTAGCACATGCTCCCCATATGCGCGAATTGCAAGGACACTAAGGTCGCGGTTGAACTGCTGGATAGGATTGTAGAAGACTGATTGGGATTGGTCGTCAGCTTTGAGATCCTTTTTCGTGGCCTTTGAGGCGGCAGCTTGGGCAGGGGGGTTCAGAATGTACGCCAACCCTTCCTTCACTGCCCTGTATTCAGTGCCGTCGTACTGTATCAATTGCTCAGACATATCCTTGGCCGGGGATGGGGTAAAGTAGGATCGGCGGAGTGGCGAGCGGTTGAAGAGACAGGTGCAGCGGGCAATCGCGCGACGGGGGCTGAATCGAGGGTGGATGGGGAGGGTACGGTAAAGGGCACACAGGCGTGAGCGCATCGACCCCGTCTTGAGTGAAGACGGTTGACTTGGATCGGGTGTGGGGGGAGGGAGCGAGAGACCGAGAGGGTTCGAAACTTTTTTTTACTTTTCCAACCCCCGAAAGCACGGACCACAGCAGATCTGCGCTATCATCCATTTACATTAATCTTGTTATTATAATACATAATGTCGGCCGTGACTTCCATCGGTACATTAGTCGGTCAGAGCCAGCTCCCAATGACAGGGACCTGACTGTATATCTCATTCCACCCACTGGCCTCCCAGCCATAGCCCTGCCCGGCCCGGCCGATGATTACCAGGGCGCCAGCCAGCCAGACTGACGCGCCCACCGCAGCGATCCCGTTGACAGTCCACCACATCTTTTTCTGTCTGCGGACTCGTTGCTCGCTTTCAGAGTGTCCCAGGTATCCCTCTAATGAGCCTTTCTTTCGGGCTTGTTCCTTCCGGGCCGTGGTCACTCTCCAGCCCATCCAGGAGGCCCAGCCCCCAATGAAATGCCACACTCCGACGGTGACAAACATCATATAATAAAGATTCCAAAGGACGGGGGCTCGTGAAAATCCTTGGGCCACATAACCTAAACCAACTCCTGAGCTTCCTCCATCAACCATCAGTGGGGTGATGCGATTGACGAGGATATGGGAACCCAGTAGTGGGGCGAGAGTATATCCTAACCGGGCCTGCAGGCTCATTCGAGGCCAAAAATTCAACGAAGACCTTTGTGACCTTGTCTCAGCGCCGTACAGTCGCGCCCGCCGTGCAGCGCGAATGTTGCGCAAGGCAATTCCGGACGCAATGTGGATCAGAATGGGAACGGTCAGGACTAGGTGTTCGAGTGATGGAGACTGGTAGACGGGTCTCGTGAAAAGCAGAAAGTTTTCGCTATCGGGCACGGACCGAGTCGCGAGAGGAATGAGAGATGTGTTGGCCCAATGCAATGCAAGGAATAGGCTGGGTGGATATGTCGAGTAGCGTTGGAAAGCAGACACTGAGGGACACGTAAGGGTCATTGTTAGCTACCGCGGGAGATATTCTTGCCATATTAATCAATGTATGGAGATACTTAGCCGTACACCAGGAATCCCAGCTGTGCCCGCGAAGACCTAACTTGAGCGATGAGAACGTTCCCCCGGCCGTAGTCTGGGGTACCGCCGGGCGACTCTGTTTGTTGGGGAAGTATTCGCCAGATTCGAGGTCTGGAAATTCATCATCTACCGGCGACGGGTCCAGTTCTTGCATGGAGAATATGGAATTTGTGTTGATGTCATCCGGTCTGTGTGCCAGGCTTTCTTTAGGGGCTGCCATGGCGCGACAACGGCACTAGACGGCCAGGTTGTTGGAGTCTACAAGGGACTTTGTATGTGTTCGGTACCAGGTGCCAATTACCCCGATAAAAGAAAGCGTTGCGATGGGTTCTTGGAATCAGCATATGATCAGTGACCAGCGAGTACTGATTTAGATTCTCGGAAGCTGTTTTTCTTGGAAGTAGTATTGATTGATCGATCGATACTTCAGGTTTAGTCCTACTAAGCGATCTACCACGTTCGTGCGCTGGTGATTGGCCCGTCACTAACATTGTACGGTACCGCACCAGTATTAACAATAGTACTTGACCCTCCAGGGCGGTAGGTTTCCTCCAGCAGAAAGTAAACTTTAGTTAATTGGTCATCTCCCAAGGAAACATCCCGTAGACAAATCACAACCACTGGCACAGATCTTATTTGCCTAGCGAGCAATCGGCAGACTCTGGTCCTGTCTTGGTGCTTGCTCTGACTGACCATTCAAAGCGCTGTCTGCGCGCTTTCCCTCATAACGATGGCGCCTGCAAGTGCATGCATTCCGTATCTCTTTGAGCTACATGTCTTCCGACTAATCCTTGGCTGACGAGTGCATTATATAGCGAGGCTTCACCAACCCCACTCCTAAGGTGCGATTCGGTGCTAAAAGCAGATCAACACCTTTATGCTAATTCAGGATCCCTTCCTATCTTCTAGACCGAATCTGCGCGTTCCGCTCTGAGCTCTTTCACCTGCACTCTTTGCAACAAGTCCTATTCTCGCCATCCAGAATATGAAGCTCATATTTCTTCTTATGATCACCAGCATCGCAAGCGCTTACAAGATCTCAAACAATTATCACGGGATCCAAATGCTGCAGAGAAGGCCAGGCGAGCAGAAAGAAAGGCTGATGCAGAGGCCGGGTTAAGGGTACTCGATTCTTCCAAATCCATCCCAGCATCGACGGCTGGGACTGGATTTGGATCTGGGGGTAGTACTGGGGGTGGAGCCGGATTCAAGAAAGGGGGGTTCAAGAGTTCGTTTACCACCGTCAAAGGACCTGTCGCCCCAGCTGCGCCCACGAAGAAAAATGTTCTAGGTGGTGACGATGAAGACAATGGTGTTGCAGAAGCAGATGATGCAAGCCTGTACAATCGAAGCCAACCCACCAGACACGAAAGTGCCCAGCTTGATCAGGCAGAGAGCGATACTGATGAGGAATATGCCCATGATGTAATAGGTGGGATGTATTACAATCCACGGAATCCTACAAGTTGCCCCCCTGAGTGTGTTGGAGCCAGGAATGCCCCATCACAAACTTCCATCTTCTGACGAATTGGCCGTCACGAGGTGTGACATCAAATAGGCGATAAATGTCTTCTCTTTTTTGGGGGGGGGAGCCTTGGTCGATGATTTGGCAATAAAAAACCTACTCGATACGAGCAGCCCCATGGCTACATACGGGCTTTTTGATGGGATCCCATCAGTCAAGAACAGGGCTACCCGGTAAACGCCATTATGAAGACATGTCACATAATATATGGTCATGAAAAGGCATTTGGTTTCTAAAATGCAGATTGATGTTGATTGCGTTGTATAGTCGTACAAATTCCAGGAAATCGGGTGATGAGGCAGAATGGGAGAATAGGAGGAAATGGCTGGGACAATAAGAGGGTACTAGACACATAATTTTATTACTTCAGTTTTCCTTAAGACACCGTCGGTTCATGTACAGCAACCCACTTCACAGCCGCAGCAGCTTGGCAGCCTGGGTGACAATGGTGTCCTCCTGGGGGAAGCTCATTTGCTCAAGGCCGGCGGCGTAAGGGGTAGGCACCTCGGCACCAGTCACACGAACCGCAGGAGCAGTCAGGTAGTCAAAGCCGTACTCCATAGACAGCGCAAGAATCTCGGAAGAGACGCCGAACATGGGGAAACCAGACTCGACACACATGAGACGGCCAGTCTTCTTGAGCGACTGAATGATGGTCTCCACATCGAGGGGCTTGACGGACCGAAGGTTGATCACCTCCGCGTCAACACCGTACTTCTGCTTGAGCTCGGCAGCAGCATTGAGTGACTGTCCAACGCAGCGGGAAAGGGTAACAATAGTCAAGTCCTTGCCGGGGCGTTCAATCTTGGCCTTTCCAATAGGGAGGACGAAGTCGTTCTTCTGAGCGGCCTCGCTCATCGGGAAAGCCTGGCCGTACAACAGCCTACAGCGCTTTGTCAGACTCGATATGTTCCAAGATATTGCGATTATCACAGGGAACCTACTCGTTCTCAAGGACGACGACGGGGTTGGGGTCGCGGATGGCAGCCTTCAACAGACCCTTGGCATCCTCGGCGCTCCAAGGCGCAACAACCTTCAACCCAGGGATGCTGCCGTACCAAGCGGAGTAGTCCTGGGAGTGCTGGGCGGCAACACCAGCCGCGAATCCGTTCGGTCCACGGAAAGTGATGTTACAGGGCTGAATACCACCGGACATGTAATGCGTCTTGGCAGCGGAGTTGATGATCTGATCGATGGCCTGCATGGCAAAGTTGAAGGTCATGAACTCGCACTAGGCGATCAAATAATTCTTAGTATACCTTGCGTTTGCCTGATGAATGTTGCATAGTCAAAGATGGCAAGCCGGGGAACTCACAATGGGGTGCAGTCCGGCAAGAGCAGCACCGACGGCGAGACCACAAAAACCGGCTTCCGTGATGGGGGTATCGATGACCCGCTTGGGACCAAAGCGGTCCAACAGACCTCTCGTCACCTTGTACCTATACGAAGAGCTTGTTCAGAGATGCTATCCAATGACAACGGCCAATCCACGGGGAACGGGGTGGCATACGCTCCGTTGTACTGCGCAACCTCCTCTCCCAAAATGAAAGTTTTCTGGTTGCCCTCCAGCTCCTCGGCGAGCGCCTCGTTCAGTGCATCGCGGACCGTGACCTCCTTAGTACCGGTCTCGGTAGCGTATCCCCGGAAACGCAGAATTGAGGGCGCGCATGCGTTCTGGGAGAAAGCAGGGCGAAGAGGAGCCGAAGAAAGGCGCGAAGAAAGCAGACGAGCTGCCGGGCGGAAAAGTCGGGGAGCAGCCATGGTAGGAACTGTAGGGTATAGAAAGCAGGGAGAAGGGAACGAGAAGATCTTGACGGAATTACCGGACGGTTGGCAATTAGAGTCAAAGGAGTCAAAGGGGAACGGACAGCCGAAAGGGCCTCGTAACTCTTCCGGGTCGGGGAATCTTTTTCGTCGACGAGGTTCGGGGAAGATGGTTTTTGGTGAGAGCTTCGAAGGGACTGTTGGGTTAAGCGCTGACTAAGCCCGTCGCGGTTTCCTCACGTTCTCACCGGGCGCCTTCTTCCGTAGCCTCCGTTCCCTCCTGACTTCCTCCGGGACAGCCGATAAGCGATCCTGTTCCTATCGAGAGATAAGCCCGGAGTAGATATGCGTTGACGGCTCCCAAGGTGCTCTGTCGGTCAGTAAGTACTCCGTACTTGAATCACCACTCTCACTCCCCCAGCGCCTGTTTACTAACCGGAGGCCCTTCTACCCATAGGAAAATTGCTCTGTGTCGCTCGTTTTTTTGTCATCAACCATCCCTACCTTAGTTATCTGCTATCGTTTCTTACTATCCCGGAGGGGACGTGACCATGCTCCGCAGCAATTTGCTATCTTCCGCGTCCGTAGTCTTCCTCCTTTCCTCCCTGTCCTCGTGCGTCCGAGCTGTACAGCCGTCTGCGCCCGATCCTGTCGTGGCACCATTGCGCGATCTGAAATGGGGGCAGCTCAATTTCCTTCATACCACAGACACGCATGGCTGGCTAGCTGGTCATCTGCAAGAGTATGGCGCTGAAGTCTCCTCCGAGGCCATTTCCGGGCCTTACTGATTCGAGTCCACTATAGACCCTCGTACTCGGCGGATTGGGGTGACTATGTTTCCTTTGCCTCCCGCATGCGCGAGAAGGCAGAGTCCGTGGGTTCGGATCTATTAGTGATCGATACCGGTGACAGGGTGGAAGGAAATGGGCTTTACGACTCGTCGGAACCTAAGGGCATCTATGTCTCTGAGATCTTGCGACAGCAACACATTGACCTGATCTCGTCAGGCAATCATGAGCTGTATAAGCAGTCAACGTCAGAAGCCGAGTTTTACACCACGGTGGCCAATTTTCGTGGAAACTATTTAGCCTCAAATATTGACATCTTTCACCCGGTCCTCAAGGTCTTTGTACCCTTGGCACCGCGCTTCAAGAAGTTCACCACCAAGCAACAGGGCATACGTATTATTGCATTTGGATTTCTTTTCGACTTCAAAAAGAACAACAATAACACTGTTGTCCGGCCCGTGCAGAAGACAATCAAGGAGGAATGGTTCCAGGATGCCATTAGGGACAAAGAGGTGGACCTCTTTCTGGTGATTGGACATGCCCCCGTACGCTCGGATGAGTTTCATGACATATACTGGGAAATAAGATCTATTCGTTGGGATACACCAATTCAGTTCTTCGGCGGCCATTACCACATCCGAGACTACGTCCGATTCGATTCCAAGGCCTACGGCCTTGCCAGTGGCCGGTTCATGGAAACAATTGGATTCATGTCAATCGACGGTCTTTCTACTGGCACTCACCACATGCAGTCCGCCTTAGCAGCTCCCCGTTTCAATCGAAAATACATCGATAATAATCTCCTGTCTTTCTATCATCACACAGGTCTCAATGAGGACACATTCCCCACGGAGCAGGGAACAAATGTTTCCCTGATTATTCAAGATTCCCGAAGCGCCCTTCAGCTGGATAAGGTGCTCGGATGTGCCCCACGAGACCTCTGGATGTCCCGAGTCAAATATCCGGATGATGATAGTATCTATACCTGGCTAGAGAAAGAAGTGCTGCCTGCGTCATTGGGAGATGATTCTCGTGCTGGGAAGCCAGCACTCGCTATAGTCAACACCGGTGCTATTCGCTTTGATATATTCAAGGGCCCCTTCACCCAGGATACTACATACATTGTTTCTCCATTCACAAGCGGTTTTCGTTACGTGAAAGACATCCCATACAAAAAAGCCAGTTTTGTCAGCGAGGTGCTAAACAAGCTACCCGGGATCTTGATGCAAAACCATCAAGTTGACTTTCCAGCAGAGCAACTTGCACCCCCCGAGCAGTCAGCGTATACCCATGATGACGTTGGCGGTAATGGTGGTCGATCAGACACCAGTTTTCTTGCCAATCAAGCCTCATCCCTAAATAGTGGCTATGCTGAGCCTAATCTTATTCCCGGGTACACTACCAAAGACGATGGAGGCGCCGATGGTGATGACACTGTCCACTCGCGTATCCCCTTTTACCACGTGCCGAATTGTATCCAGGCATTGGCTTCCTCAGATACACCTGCAACTCCGGATACGGTGGACCTTGTCTATATCGATTTCATAGAGTCCGACGTGGCTATGGCGGCTACGTTCGCGGGACTGACTGTTGATTTCACGCATGATAGTGACGTCTATATGCCGTCTACAACGTTAACTACTTTGATATCGGACTGGATAAAAGATAACTGGGCATGTGATGAGGCTTGAGACGGCCCGTTCCAATTGCCTCACACTTCGTAACTGGTATATGGGCTTGGATCGTCTGATGGGGGGTCACTGGATTTTATTCTCTTAGACGAGTTGTTTGGTCTTTCGCACACAGCAAGATGGCAATGGTCTATGCTTAGATAGTTAGATGTTAGGTCTCTTCTCTAACTGGTGAGAAGGACTATGGGTAAGTAGGTAATAGATATCCATCAGCCAAGCTTTTCACATCCTTTTTGAGGGTTACTGTACTGGCATGGACTTTCCGAGTCGGAAGTCTAGTCTCAACGCCGCTCAATCCTGGCCCTCGTACTTGAGTAGGCCCTTGCCGCCCCGGTAACCGCTAAGGGTTTCCTGCACACCGGCTGTAAGCTCCGAACCCTCCGTGTCCCAGCTCCATTCCAATTCCTCAACGGGAATATCCTTGAATCTACCAGCCCGTGTCAACTGCAGCACATCATTGATGGTATTCTCCTTTAGCTGTGGGTTTTTATCCCCCCATTTGCTAACCCAGAAGCCATCGAAGACAAGGTTCTTGAAAATCAACAGTCCCGACGGCAGGGAAACCGGCTGCTTTGACATGGCGCCATAGGTGACCAGATGCGAGCCTGGGGCAAGAGTTTTGGCCAGAGCTGTGGCACTTTTCCCACCAACGCAATTTAGTGCCAGTCGAATGGGCTCCTTCCCCTTGCGTGTGAGTTCGTGCACGATGTTTCTGAATTCGCCCGACAGCAACTCGGTCTCCGTGACCACCGCGGTTGCACCTAGATCTCGGAGTTCCTCCTTCAGGGCTTCCGTCTCTTCCGGAGTCTTCCGTTCCCGAACAACGTTGATGGTCTTGATACCCCACTCTCGCGCAAGTTGAATAGTAGCGCGTCCAACGCCGCTGTTTGCTCCGTTTTGGATCAACCATTCCTCTCCTGCACGCATCCAGTCCCAGTTGCAAAAGTCTTTAATCATGCGGTAAGCTGTTACTGGATTGACGCTAACAGTACTGATTTGAAGCGGAGTCAGCCCCTCTTTGTTCTCAACCTTGATCAACTGCGACTCGTCCATCTGAGCGTGTGTGCGCCAAGTGCCTTGCCCAGTTTGTTTCATGACAACCCAGTCACCCTTGCTGAGGTTTTTGGCTCCAGAGCCCGTAGCAATGACTTCGAAAGCGCCCTCATTTCCGGCGACAGCGGATGGTTCCTGCGTACCGAGGGTTGTTTGAAAGGGTGGCTTGCTCGGGTATACACCCTGGATCTGGTTTACATCGGCAGGATTTAGCGGCGCAGCAAGAAGGCGAAGATTGACCTGAGTGCCATGAGGGGGGGAAATAGAGTGCTTGTGAAGCCTGCATGTCCGTCAGTTGTTTCGTCCACATTTGTAATAGCAATAACGACAGGTGGAAATTAACGCGGTCCGGAAACTTACTGCAGAACGTCCTTCGGTTCTCCGTATCGTGAGTAGATAAGTGCCTTAGATTGCGTATAGCCGTAGACTGAAATCCACCTTCTACTCCCAATCAGGGTACGAGGGCATGCTCCTCTCCATTGGTGCTTGCTCGCTGAGACCAACCGCGATGCAGCGTCAGTCTTCAGAAGGGACGTGGCTTGACTTCTGGAGGTCCCAACCGCGGACCGGATCAGGCTACCTGAAAACATTATTATCGCTAAGAGGTGAGGTAGTCAATAATGAGACTGGTGGATAGGGGGCGAGACGAGGACTAACAATTGTTGTTTCGCGAGGAAATTCCTGATGACGTCGTTCCTCCAGCCCTCGGGCCGACGGAGGTGAAGGTGCCGAGTCGGGTATTCTTTTTGGCCTTTCAGCGATGACAAAAACGAAGGGTTGCCCCCCCAAAGTTATGAGCATTGGAGACCACATGAAGCAGCGCATCCCACCAATGCCATCCTAGAGGTGTGGTGGTGAGCTCGACCCAGACAGCTCTCAAGGAGCCCCAGAGGAGTGAGTGGTCTGGTACCGTACAAAATGGTACAGTAAGGTACTGACATGACAGGGATTATGTACTGACCGCCCGCGATGCTCTCACCGCCCCGGGGATCCGCTGCATGCAATCAATCGACCATCCCCTCAATTGTCTGCCTTTAACACCCCATTGAGCTGTCATTGGTCTCAATGTCACTTCTGCGCGAAGCCGAGAGATGTTTCGCTAACCAAGGCTCTTATGCGGCTCTGAATGCGCTAATTGCCACCCTACATCAGTCAGGGCAATGGTTGGAACGAGTGAGAGATGCGGATGCGCGGCGCACCCGGGGTAAGCATGAAGGCTGCGTTGAGAGGATCCCCATCCTACTCGGAGCTGACCAGCTTACTTCTCTGAACAGGTGCACCTAAGTCCAAGGTGGATGGTCGATTGATTGCCTTCAAGGATAATATATGCACGCGGGACCTTCCAACTACATGTGCTTCAAACGCTCTGGACAAATTTATCAGTCCGTTTAATGCGACAGTGGTTCAGCAACTGGAGGATGCAGGGGCCATCGTGGCCGGAAAAGCTAACCTAGATGAATTCGGGATGGGCTCCCATTCTGTTCACTCGAACTTTGGGCCTGTCAGAAGCTTGCGCCGTAACCACGATGCGGAGAGTCTTTCAGCTGGTGGTAGCTCTGGCGGAAGTGCGGTTGCTGTTGCTACGGCCCAATGTTATGCGTATGTAGCTCTCCGGATCGGTCTTGAATCAAATTACGGGCAATTGTTTGGCCTAACATCGCTGGAACACTTGTAGGTCATTGGGAACTGATACAGGCGGTTCAGTACGGCTTCCCGCCGCCTATACTGGAACGGTTGGCTTCAAGCCTTCTTACGGGCTGATTTCCCGCTGGGGGGTGATTGCATATGCTAACTCATTAGATACGGTCGGAATTATGGGAAGCGATGTGTCTACCGTTCGCAGTGTCTTCGGTATGTCCTATATCTTACCATTCAGCCTCGGTCTTGCTACGTCTTGATTTGCTGATATGCTTTCGCACAGACATTGTGAACCAGCATGATCCACGCGACCCGACTAACCTTTCTCCCCCTACTCGGTCGCGCATCGACTCACATCTGAGCATGCTCACTCTGGCATCTCGGCGGACTTCTTCCCTCAAGATTGGCGTTCCCCTTGAGTACAATTTATCCGAATTGACCCCTTCCGCGCTCCGCGCGTGGTCTCGCTCTCTAGCCTATTTGCGGCAACAGGGTCATACTCTTCACACGGTCTCTCTTCCCACGACTAAACTTGCCCTGTCGGCGTACTATGTACTCGCACCTGCTGAGGCATCTTCGAATTTAGCGAAATATGATGGTGTCAGGTATGGGAATCGCCCTGAAGGGCCCGATAATACCACTTCAACAGAAGGCTACCTATATGCGAACACACGAGGTGAAGGGTTCGGTTCCGAAGTCAAGAGACGCATCTTGCTCGGGGCATTTAGCCTAAGCGCTGATGCTATGGATAATTACTTTATCCAGGCGCAGCGGATTCGCCGCCTTGTTCAACACGATTTTAACACCGTGTTCAGAGCATGTCAACCATTGGATTCTCCGGATCTGGGAACGAAATTAGATTCCGAGGAAGCTGGAGTAGACGTTCTTGTTTGCCCAACTGCTCCGTCGCCGCCTCCACGCATCTCAAGTCTTATGGGTCACGGTACAGTAACTTCATCCCTGGAAGCATATATGAACGATGTTTTTACTGTGCCCGCCAGTCTGGCGGGTCTTCCAGCCATATCCGTTCCGGTCACTACGGATGATGCCCAGAACCCTGAAAATAGCGACTTGGCTGGAATTCAGGTCATTGGCCAATACGGCGATGATGGGCTCGTGTTAAAGGTCGCGGAACTGCTCGAGGGCAAACATTTATAGAATATGGCCTCAATATACGTGGATGCCCCCAATCCGATTGTAGAAACGCATATACGACCGAATAGTGCATCAATATAAAAAGAATCGCGTGCCATTTCCTCAAGTACTTATGCTTACGACTGTTGAGAAAGGCTCAGATTAAGAACCCCACCCCCAAGATTGCAATGAAGACTAGGATGTTCCATGGATTTTTAGGGATGCTTTCATGCCAACACATGCTTACTAGCCATGTATGACACCTCTATCCCAAGATGTCGCAACACGGCCCACGAGGCCGAGGATCAAGGACCCGAATAAGCGAGCACAGAACGAGACTTCTGCGGTACGGCAGTCAAGACATTTCAATGTCCACATCTCCGATTACCGCCTCAGGTACAGTAGTCGGGGCCGCTTCTACCACAGATGTACCTGCTGCCTCGGCGCCCATGGCGTCCTCGAACGTGGTGTGGCCTGCATCGAGGTCCATGACGTTCACTGTTTCGTTTCCAGTGGGATTGGCAGCGGCCACACTCTGATTCTCTGAAACCGGAAGCGTGGCAGACTCATAAGCCGCACTAACACCACCTTTCAACACCTCGGAGCCACCAACCACCCCAGTACCGGAACCATCGATCTCCGCATTGTTGACAACGTTGCCGTCTACTCCACCCCAGACACACATCGCTTCAACCTCATCAACGATGTCAGCAACAACATCCTCAACTATTTGCTCATTGAAGCGTTCGCCTATTCCCCGGACTGGCTCGCCATTGTCTCCATGAGAAGGCGGACCTACCCACCATGGCCCTTCAAAGCGGCATTCAACAGCGCCTCCGCCGTAGCAGCTGACAGCAGGGTAATAACCGATCATCCCGTCATCTGCATTCTCGCGTTCGCCAATTCCCAAATTATTTGTGCCATTGGCGAGCCGGCTAGCTGGTGGTAGAAATGCATACAGTTCTTTGAAAGGGACCCCCATTTTGACACCGTTCTTGTATATTGTGATACTTGAACCGGGCAAGGTCCGCAAAGATGCATCTTCGCCGTTTAATGGAGATGGCGGTCCAAATGTAGGCGTCTCTTTGAGATTGAACGCATAGTCGCGAAGCTGTTTTGTTGAAAACACATTTGATTGTTGCCAACAGAAATCAGACTTGTAATGGAAAGGAATGCGATCACGAATAATATTCGGGGCTGACAAGACTTCTGAGCCCGGTGTTGAAACATCACCGTCTGCATTCGGATCATATGTTCCCTCAACAACTCTTTTGTGAAGCGAAAGTGGCGGGAGGGTAATAAGGAGGCCGATAACATCATCCTCGCGAATAGATTCGCCTTTGGGGAAGAAGTATTCGCAACGCATTCGGTTGACAACCTCGCCATTCACGTCACGAACACCGTAACCGTAACAATCAACACCAACATTGACATCGAGGTCTGCCTCCCTTCGTGCGAACCCAAGGCGTACATGACCTCTAGACGGCAAGCTTGTATTGCTATTGGAAGAGGCTGCTAGTGGACCATTCGTGACACCACTAACAATGCGCGCCTCGTAGTAATAGGATCCTTCTCGAGCGCAGACATTGGCGCGTGCAGTATGCCAAGGCTCATTAGAAGTGACTGCAAGAGCATCTTTGGTGAAGAAAATAGCAGCTGGAGAGTCTTCGAAGCTGAACCGAGCGTGGTAGGGGGAAACGTCAGTCTGGCGGTACTTGATATGTGGGAAACCCGGGTCAGCTATGGCATAGCTATAGCGGAAACCATTCTTGTTCGTGAGTTTGTCGACAATCTCGAAGAAGTCCCATCGTTGGCCGATAATATCCGACGCTTTCCGATTCACAAAGTTCAACTGACGAGGTTGTGGAGGTAATAGATCGGACGCACGAGGCTCGGCCAGCAATAATGGCCGTAGTATGCTGAGTTCTGCACTCGGAAGCGCAGTGTTCTGGACCGCAACTGTTCTCTTCTTGGGTGGCATGTTTTCCTGATCCAGGCCCTTGGCCTCACGCTTTTTGCGGCTATCACGTTTGGTGCGCTTTGACTTCGATCCATCAGCTTGCGTTGGGGCATGATTAGCCGGCACAGGAGAGGACCTTGCGTTGCTGTCTGGCAAGGAACCGACGAAAAACGGGGTAGCTCCAGGAGGCAAGATCGGAGAATTCAGGTTAGACGAGGGCGCAGAAGACCCAGTCGGTTGCGTAGAAGCCATTGTTAGAGTAGTCTCACTGTTCCAGAAATAGATACTACAGGAGATGATTCTGAGCACAGTCTTAAATTAGACGTTCTTCAATTTGAAGACCCTGGTCGCGGAATCCCGACAGCATCCGCTAGCTGTTGCGCATATGATTTTCTACCAGCAACGACGCCGCAAGCCGGTCTGTACCTCCCTGTGTTAGAGCCTTTTCTTTCAACGGTCAGCACTCGGGCTAGATCCACTTAGCCCAGAGCATCCAGAAAGCCTTGACGATTGATACGTGGAGTATGATACTAAAAATCAAGGATAAACCGTGGGTTGCAGACAACGCCTGTGGGAATAAATGTATCGCGAGGTCAGAATCAGGTACGAAACTAGTAGCTCAAAGACTCGTTCTATTTCCTCACGTGCGGATTCCAATGCTTATGAATATATCAATGGTAGCAGGTGCACCGTAACTCAAAGCACTGTGTACTTGGATGGAAAACGAGGAACAATTGGATGTGAGTGCCTTTCGACTTACCGAACGTGCTACTTGTCGACACGGCTCGAATTAGCCAGTAAGGGGTGAGAAAAATTCCACAGGTGACTTATAAAAGTGCGCATATAAGCACGGTCTCCTCGATTGAGCTCTTTGTATAAGTTGAGAAACCCCGCGTTCATCACATGGCTATTATTTATTCCTTAGATCCATGCGAAGAGCGGAAAGTAGTCTTGTCAGCGAATCGAGGCGGTCAGTTGGAGTAATGCCGGCAGGCATCGAAAGCGCAGTGCTCGGAGGGGGTAAAAGCGGTACATATTTGAGCCAACTAAAGACCTCTCTCTACCTCAGGCGGTGAGAAATGACTCCGCTTTTGCGGCACAAAAAAAGCTCAACAGAAAAGTTTAGGTCACATGATCTAGAAATTTACACACATTTTCCTGAGGTCGATACCCGTCGTTCTCGGTCCTTTCATGCTGGTGACTACATGGCACAGGTTCTAGTCACCATCTCCTGATTCGATATAAGACCCAGATCATTAACATACCCACGTCCAAAGGGGGAAAGTTACGATGCCCAAGGCCACATCCTCTCGCTCCGCTGCTGCCCGCCGGCATAATCCTCTAGCTGAGGATTATCTGACTGCCGGCCATCTGAGGACCCAATCGAGCAAGAAGACCAGTCGGAAGTCTCACCGGGAGGAAGATCAAGAAGATGGAGAGCGCTTTATTGATGCAAAGATGTCCCGGAAGATCTTGCAAATCGGGCAGGAATTGGCTGAAGAAGATGCCGCAGAGCAAAGAGTCGCAACAGGGGCGGCGACCGACAAGATTAATTCAGCCTTCAATTTTGAGTCTCGCTTGGAAGATGACGAGGTTTTATCGGATGATGAAAAATTTCAAGATGATCAATGGGACGACGATGAAGAGGAAAATGATGAAGTGGTTTGTCACCTGCTTCTAGTGGAGAAAATACTTGGGAGCTTACAGGCTGATATATATTAAACAGGAGGTCGATCCGGACGACCTTGATATGTTCCACAAATTTGTTCCTGGGGGCGACGAAGACCCGATATTTAACCCTAGTGGATCGGATGCTGAGGGTCAGACCAAGAACCTAGCCGATCTTATCCTGGAAAAAATTGCGGAACATGAAGCAAAGCAGGCTGGGGATGGCGCACCGTTTATTCAGGGTGGAGGTCTGCCGGAAGATGCTGTCCAGATACCAGCGAAAGCGGTGGAAGTGTACGAAAAGTGAGTGTGTGATTGTCCTATGCTCTACTCGCGCAAGGCTAATTTGAAAAAGGGTCGGCATGATTCTTTCTCGCTACAAATCTGGGCCTCTTCCCAAACCTTTCAAGATCCTTCCTTCCGTACCCAACTGGCCCACTCTTCTTCATATCACGCGACCAGAGACTTGGACAGCCAACGCTGTTTACGCCGGTACCAGGATTTTCATATCATCAAAGCCAGCAGTTGCGCAAGAATTTATCTCGACAGTGTTGCTTGACCGTGTCCGGGAGGAAATTCATGAAACCAAAAAGCTCAATGTCCACACATACAACGCATTGAAGAAAGCACTATACAAGCCCGCCTGTTTTTTCAAGGGCCTACTCTTCCCATTGGTTTCAAGTGGAACCTGCACCTTGCGAGAAGCTCACATTGTCTCGTCGGTTATTGCACGTGTCTCAATTCCTGTCTTGCACTCTGCTGCCGCCTTACTTCGCATGTGTGATCTTGCTGCTGAACAGTCACTGCGCTCACTGGAAAGCACTGGTGCAGTGAACATGTTCATTCGCATCTTCCTAGAGAAGAAGTACGCCCTTCCTTATAAGGTAATCGACGCTCTCGTTTTCCATTTCCTTCGCTTTCGTGCTAGCGATGGCGCTGAGGATTCCATGATGACCGATGAACCTTCTCGTGAAGCCAACAAGGCTTATAAACTTCCTGTTCTCTGGCACCAGTCCCTACTGGTCTTTGCACAACGCTACCGCAATGACATCACTGAGGATCAGCGGGAGGCACTCTTGGACCTGCTTTTAGTCCGCGGCCACAAGGATATTGGACCCGAGGTCAGACGGGAATTGCTAGCAGGCAGAGGGAGAGGTGTGGTTGCACCGGATCCAGAGAACCAAGGGGCTATTGATGCCGGCGATGATACCATGGATTTCACGTTATAAATGAATTGCTGCGAGACCAGTCTGAAGGTGTCTCGGGTGAGTTCAAAATTTTGCATCTTGCTATGATTCAATCACGACTCGTGACTGGAATGGGCGTTAATGTCGGGCTCTTGATTTGTCACTCCTATTTTCTTTTTCCTTCTCAGGCATATATTATTCCCACGGTTACACCTTAGTTTGGCGAGTTGTCCTCAGTTAATGGGCATGTTATGTGAGAAAGATGAACCCAATCAGATTTGGATGAGGATAAAAGCGGGTTATCATTTTACACCAAGCGCACAAGCTCGCATGTTGTACCCCACTCCTACGTTCCCGGTATCTAACAGTACCTTCTCCGTAGTCCGTACGTCCAGCAACAATAATGAAAAAGGGGGCCGCCCCAATCTGACAAGGGGGCTGGGCGCACCCAACTACGACCGCTTTTATCTTTAAGGGGAGGAGGTCCGTTTTACTATGTCACAGTAATTAGCAACATGCCATCCATATCATGGATAAGAAAATCACTGTGATATTAAAAGAGGGGTATACTCCATACTCTGTATAATCGGAGTAGTGGACATGCGACTCAAATGATTCTCGTACATTCCACCTGCTACCTAGATAGGCCAGCCAGGGCGGGAATGCGGGAATAACAGTTCCAGACCTCAAGGATTCACAAGGCTCCGGGCTCTCAGTCAACGAGTCAACGGCCGAGTCAAAGGAATGGCGCCACGGTGGATCGGTTCCACAAATCACTTCACTGCCACCAATGATGGCGCAATGCCCTTGGAAGTTGGAACCTCACTTCAATCTTCATAGGCTCATGGGCGGCTACTAAAAGTAGTGCACAATAGGAGCTTAGGCTGATTACGGACTCTGGAGTCTGGACACCCTACAATAATGAATAATCTAATAATATCTACCTACACTCACAGATAGGCTATCAGGGAAGTAGATAAGCTGAATGGTACTGAGCTCAGCTTACAGGAAGTACGGACGGAGTAAGTCAGGTAGGACGCCTGTCAGAGAGGCGGGGTGGTGACAAGACTGGTTGATAAAAATGGCATAGGCTGCATTATAAAAGTACGGGAATAACGGCACGGAGTAGGTGAATAGGTGCCTGATCCGCAAGGTTACAATTTATTACAAGACCATAGAACTCAGAAGAGGGATAAGGACTGAGATGGGGGAGGGTCCCAGGGGGGGAGTGTCGCAGGTATAGAGCTTGAGACGTGAAGAGGGGGGAAGGGGGATCTCCTGGGGCCAGTCCAGTCACCGTTACTTTGTTAGTACCACGGTGCTGACAGTATTTACCATACCATTATCGGGGCGGAAAGGGGTTCACCCACCCAACCGAACCATGAAGGGGCCCAGATGCCGTGTACGAACCCCGTAAGGTACCGGTACTTGGCTGACGACGATGACTCCGCCCCCTTACTGAAGGAGGCGGCCCTGAACAGACCACGTTGGCCTTTTAAAGAGTCGCTCTCTCCCATCCCAGAGCCGAGCAGAAAATCATCCTCAGCCCTTCCTTTTTATTATCCTTTGGTCCTTGAGGACACTTGTCCTTTTCTCGCCTGGCCATTTCCGTTTTCTGGTACACTTGACCCCAGCACCGCTTGGCCAGAGTCTGGCCCCCCAGCTTCTACCGTTATGACACCGTGGCCTGTGTTCCTGTGACGTGGGCAAGCAGACGTGATCAACCAAGCTACCCCTTCCACACCAAGCTGTGTCCACCTACATTACCGTCTCCCATAGGTTCAGTGTCATCTGATCGACTTGTTCTATTATATAGAAGATCACTGTCTGTCACGCTTGCAGGATGGAAGGCGGTTTTTCCCCAGCCAATTCTCTCGCCGGTTCGCCGGCACCGGAGATCCCAATGCTGACAGTGTCCCCGGCGGACACTTCATTCAACGACCCATCTATGAAGGTAGGGGATAGCAAAGCGGAAGAGAAGAAGCCGGTCAAGAAGAGAAAGTCCTGGGGTCAGGAGTTGCCAGTCCCGAAGACTAACTTGCCCCCAAGGTACGTCATATCCATAATGGTATGCACGCATGGTACTAACATAGGATGAAGGAAACGGGCCAAGACTGAAGATGAGAAAGAGCAGCGCCGTATTGAACGTGTTCTTCGGAATCGTGCTGCGGCACAAACCTCACGCGAGCGCAAGAGGCTCGAAATGGAGAAGTTAGAGAACGAGAAGATTCAAATGGAGCAACAGAACCAGTTTCTTCTCCAGCGGCTATCCCAGATGGAAGCCGAAAACAATCGCTTAAACCAGCAAATCGCCCAACTATCTGCTGAGGTCCGAGGTTCCCGCGGCAACACCCCAAATCCCGGCTCCCCCGCAACAGCTTCTCCCACACTCACCCCGACTCTGTTCAAACAAGAGCGCGACGAAATTCCCCTCGAAAGAATACCTTTCCCCACACCGTCTCTTACCGATTACTCCCCTACCTTGAGGCCTTCCACTCTGGCTGAGTCCTCCGACGTGACACAACATCCTGCAGCGGTGTTGTGTGACCTGCAGTGTCAGTCGTCGGACTCGAAGGAGAAGGAAGCGCCCTCACACTTTTTGACCTCGGACCAAACGCTGAACCTCACGCTGCCGATGATATTGCAGCTCCTCTTTCTGACGATGACTTCCACCGCCTATTCAACGTTGATTCACCCGTTGGGTCAGATTCTTCAGTCCTTGAAGATGGGTTCGCCTTTGACGTTCTCGACGGAGGAGATCTATCAGCATTTCCATTTGATTCTATGGTTGATTTCGGCCCCGAATCTGTCGGCTTCGAAGGCATCGAGCCGCCCCACGGTCTTCCGGATGAGACTTCTCGCCAGACTTCTAGCGTGCAACCCAGCCTTGGCGCGTCCACTTCGCGATGCGACGGGCAGGGCATTGCAACTGGCTGTTAGCGAGAAATTTCTTAAGGAAGACCCTTCGGCTATCGATGTTGGCGGAGTCCAATGGAGCTGGGAGTCCCTGTTGACCTTGGCGTGGACGATAGACCTACTCGAAAAGCCAGGACGACGCAAACGAATCTTGAGCGGTTTGAAATCAGCGCAAAACGGACGGCGAAGTAATATCGGGAAGTCTCTAAGGAGTACACGGAGTTCAGGGAGTTCACAAAGCACCCGAGAGGCGTTGACGTCTCTCCTTATGGGCAAGCATAGTTGAGGATCTGGCTGTAAATTATCATAAATCTTTTAATCCACTTCACAATCAAAGACGGCAGTCAATTACCTGCTCATATTTCTATACTCGTCCGGAGTTCATTCGAACTCACCCTCAGGGTGCATCGTGCTATAGTTGTAACTCGTGTTTTTAGGCATCAGCAACAAGGCTCAACCTTGCTGGTGTCATGTGCTCATAGGGGTAGTGGTACTTCGATACGGCGATCGGGATGACGTTGCCACGCAGTCCCCTCCAATCTATCTAGAATCTCATCGGCGCTGGATGTTGCCTCCCGCTCGCTATCTTTTTGAGCCCAACGTTTCCTGATTAACAGAAACCAACCTTTTGTCTAGATCTCCCTTGCGTGCCCCTTATCTCCTGTCTTTGGCCTGCACAATTTTTGACAAGATGGTTCGGAAGGATCCTATATTTGAGGCCCGTACAAATGTCAAGGTAGGTGGTGCTCCTTCGCCCCCCTTCCATCCCTCGCTCTTTCTCTCTGGCAACACGTTGCCTCAACATGGACTTCCAGCGCACCATTAGTTCGGTCAAATGTATACTGACAATCTCTATTGTTTCTTTGCTATATAGTTACACTCCAATCGATTGAAAAAGGAGGCCGCCCGCGCCGAAGCAACGTTCAAATCCGAGAAAGCAAAGGCGGACAAGGCCATGAAAAATCGTGAATTTCAGATCGCCCGCATTCATGCTGCCTCTGCTGTACGTGAGAAACGCAGACAAGTGACACTTAAAGCGGAGGCTGCCCGAGCGGATGTCATCATCAACGAGCTCAAGGCTGCGCAGAGCACTCGGGACACCTCGCGGACGCTTGCATTGGCATCACGGGGCTTGGATGCGGCGTCCAAGAGCGTGAACCTTGAAAGCTTGGTCTCTCATGCAAATAATTTTCTGGCACGCTCTGAAGATTTTAAGATCGCTAGCAATGCGATCGAGGATGTTGCACAAGGCGTCTCTTTGCGGGAAAACGGGGCGGAGGGTGAAGCCGATGTGGATCGCCTGATGGAGCAACTTGCTGATGACGCCGGTGTAGACCTACGGATGGCTTTGGAGCAGGATACTGTCCCTAAGGAGGACGTTAAGGTTCCAAAACAGGCCGATTCTGAGCTCGAGGATGGCTTGGATGCTAGGCTACGGGCGCTCAGGGCGACCAACTGAAATCTACCCTGCATCTCTCTCTCTCTCTTTTATACTTTCGCATTGCCGTGTTCGTTTTTATTCTTCCATCTCAGGCGAACTACAGGAGTAATGAACAGTGCTTTGGGAATGCTTGGTTGAAGTTTATTTGCTTTACATTCTGGGTGTGGCCCATGGGTGCCCTGGTGTGGGGCTACTCTATGGACGTTTACGATGTTATCCCCCATTGTAATTATACTCTATATACTCTTTGTGATCCTCCCTGTCATTATGTTTCTAGTAGCATTGCACTTTACGCGGGTCATCTCTGGGCATGCGTGTGAGAAATACCAAACAGTCAATCTTATAGCAAGTCCCCTGGCAGTTTGAACGGATGCTTTGTGTGCTGCAGGGTTACTTCTCATCCAGTTTGCCCTTGATCCTGCTATCTTTCATCTTCCCCTACATGTTTTGTGCTCCAGTCCGGCCTTTCTGTACAGGCGACTATTGACGCAGATCCAAACTATATGTATAGTAGTATACCGAGGTGTACTCAAACACCTGGTACAGCCTTTATGGGTCCTGGTTTCACCCCAGCTGGCGACAGTATCTGTGGGGGTGATCACATATAAAAAGAATAGAAATCCGTGTCAAGAACATAGTAGCCAGATGTTAATATGCCAGTGGGAATGGTAATATATAATATCAAGGAAATTGTCATCACCTGTCATCACCTAATGGTATGCTCTATGCCTCAAGGTTGGTTCGGTACATACATAGTACTATGCGTACGGAGTAATGCAGAATTTTACTTAACATTAAAGCATTTCTTTTGGCTTATATATTTAAAGTTATGAGCTGGATCCAATCAATCAGCCGGGCTAGCTCAATCGGCAGAGCGTGAGACTCTTAATCTCAAGGTTGCGGGTTCAACCCCCGCGTTCGGCTTTTTTTTTGGCATTTTTCCACCATCACCATTACTTTACCACTTTTCATGTCGAGCTTCCATCCCCCCTCTTCTCTTCATGTATGTCATTTTCATTATTTCTTCGCCGGGCCTTTGGTTGTGGCCCCATAAGGTCCTATAAGTAACAGTCGAGCCCTTTTGTCGGAGGTAATGCCGCTTTCTTCCGGGTTTGTTCCGGCGACGATATGTTTCCGAGTCCATCCACCAACCACTCTGAATTCTAGCCGCATTGTTTTCATGACCAGGTCCGTTCTAGGCTCAACCCTGAACAGTAATAGTGAGACATTCCTCAGCCGAAACATAAAGGCTGCGCCTGAATTTAACAGGCGATGGATAGTTCCACTGCATTGGACCCGAGAGCATCCCATGGTCGACAAGCTGCCTGCTTGAATTGCAGAAAAAGCAAGGTCCGCTGCAACCGAAGCCAGGGTGATGCATACTGCGGTAGATGCAAGCAAGCCAATGTAGAATGCGTCATACCTAATCACCATGTCGGTAGACAGAAAGGCGTCAAAAAGTACGCGCTAAATGCTTCGACAGTCCGACGACCTTGCAAGCTGACTTTTCGCAAAATAGCAAACGCAAGGGCCTTGAAAAAGCGATTCACCAGATTGAGCAAGCCATCAAGCGACCCAGGAATGACACTTCAGGGGCCGAGACTGCTCACAAACTCATATCAGACCTCCAAGACTTGCTCAGCAATACGCGAGAAAAACAACTCGACAGCGAGGTAGATGATCGATCCGAGGACCTCAACCGACCTTATACGTATCCTTCTCCCCAGGATAACAATGCCGGGGAAAACTTGTCCTTAGATGATGCAGAGAATCCTTTGCAGCTACTTGCACGTGCCTCGGATCTTCAGTTATCGCCAACTGAGGTGCGTGACGCATACAGATGGCCACCGTCAACGTACCCACAGCACACAGAGGTGCCGCAGAGTAATATCAATGGAAGCGTACCTGCTGCACAAGCGTACTTCGTCCCTATCCGGGCAAGCTTGGACATTGGCTTGGATATAGACCCCATCGACATTGGTCTCATCACCCTGAATGAAGCCGAATCGCTTTTTTCTTTGTATGCCTAATGACGCTTTTATAAGGTTCGTGGCTTACCACTGATGTTAGCTTTTACCAGAATCTCGCACATACTCGATGGGGCTTAGACCCCCTAGTTCACACCGTGTCATTTGTACGCTCCCAATCCGCATTCCTGTTTACATCTATCATGTCTGCGACTGCCTTGTTTTTACCATCTGCTACAGCACTTTCGAAGCGGCTTTCCAGGCATTGCAAGGCCTTGGCACAGAATGTCATTGCCCGACGCCACAGATCAGTCGAGATTGTTCTAGCCTTCATGGTGAATGTCCCATGGATGGAGCCAGGTAGTTGCCTAGGAGATGATGATACATGTTCCTATATTGCAATGGCTCTAGCTGTTGCGTTGGACCTATCATTGAACAAGATTGTGCTACCATCCACAAGCTTTGACCATGGTCTACTCAAAAGGCTTGCCAAAGCCGAGTCCATCGATGCAAAGAGAGCCCTGTATGTGGATGGATTTGATGGCATAGATCCAGACTCCGACTGGGGCCGGAGACTACTTCGGAGGCGAGAGAGGACCTGGATAGCACTCTTCGTTCTTGAAAGAGGGTGGGCGTCATTCCCGAAGCTCGGTTCATCCACATGAATTTGCAGCCATCTAATTCTTTCTCTAGCGTATGCCTGGCCCGCGGGCGAAGCTACACAGTGCCCTCGACCGCTCTTGTTGATCATTGTGATAAGTGGCACGTGTCTGACTTCGCAGACTCTCGTGATGGTCCGATGAATTCAATGGCTGTACTCCGACGGAACCTGGTAATTCATACCCACCTTTATCTTTCGCATTGATGGCGTACAAAAAACTCTCCTAATTTACGTCTTATAGGACGGCCTCTTCCAAAGGGTAAAGGCCAACTGCGATAGCCACCAGATCACTGATGTCGGGTCTGAAGTAGCCCACTCGTACGTGTGCATCCCATGATATGTTGATATGTCAATGGCTTACGAGGGATATAGAATCAAGAACATGATAGAAAGCTTCTATGACCAATGGTCTGAGGTATGGGCACCTGAGATTGGAGAAGGCCAATGTAAGTCAATTGCAAAATCGAGATAGGTCCCGATCTTCATACAATAGACGTAGCTGATTCTAAAAAGCATACTCTCTTCCGCCCTATGTTGAGATCCTGGTAACGCATACGAGGCTATCGACATACAGCGGTGTGATCAATCATCCTACAGCACCGGTCGAAGTTAAGCGTTTCTTCCGTGCCGCCGGTCTTTCTTCAGCACTGAATGTCCTGAGAGCAGCTATCCAAGGCGAGTCGCGATTGAAGTCTATGCCTAACAATACTGTTATCATGATATCCTTTGCTGCATGTTCCGCGCTTAGTCTCAGTATGATGCCAGCAGACTGCCGGTCCAGCCTGGCTCCGAGTGTTCACAATCTGATTGAAGAAACTGCCGGTGTCCTCGAACGGATCGGAGATACTCCCCGCCATAGAAATGGCGCGTCTGTCCTCTATGGGCGCTTCCTGAGAGCGCTTGTTAGACGCTTCCCGGTAAGCTCGGGCTCCCAGAATCCCAATGGGCCGCGAACGTTGGCCGACACGGGAACCCTACACCCTCCGTCGGACATGGATGGATATTGTCCCGTAAGTTCGGGGGCGCAAGCATCGTCGATCTCGCCCTCAATTATTTGGCCTGAGCCGCTCCGGTTTTCCACCATGTCCGATGACCAAATCATTGACGCAGTAAACCGAGCTGGCACTGCGTTCGGGACAAATGTACCCGATGTCCCACTCGACGATCTGATGAGTTGGGATTGGTTCGACGTCGGAAATGCGGCAGACTTTGGCTTCTGAATGATGGGAGGGGTCTTCTACGTGGGCTGGGTGGCTATCTACATGGTCACCCATGGGTCTCATGAACTAAGCGTAACCGATCGCATTCTGGTTCCGGACCGAAAGGCCCTGGGAGCTCCGGTCGGCGTCTAGAAGTAGCGCCGAGTGCCGAGGGTGCCGTAACCCCCAGCTTCCCATATTAACCAGCTCGACACCATGGTTTTCACAGCTCGGTCACTTTCTGTACTACTTTTCGACGGCGAATATTTGCCTCCATAGTCGCGAGAAAAATGGCAACGGTTCGACTGGCTGCGTTAGTCTCGTCGCGAAGGTTAATTGCTCAGCCGCGGCCTCATCTAGCAGTGCCGCAACTTTCCATAAGCCTGTTCCCTTCCTCTACGAGAGTTGTTGCTCGCGCCAGATCCACGACTTCTACAAGTGAGCAACCTCCGAGGGCTCCAAAAATTGACAGGAGTGCTTCAAAATTGTTCAAGAATGCGGACGCTGCCGTTGCTGACCTGAAGAGCGGGTCAACCATCTTGAGTTCAGGCTTTGGTTTATGTGGTGTTGCAGGTATGAACTCACCGTGTACACCGTACACTGTCAACTTATGCTGCAACATTATCGGCTAACCTATTGGCTGTAGAAACGTTAATTTCTGCACTCCACCGCAGAGGAGCGGCCGATCTGCATTCTTTGACGGCAGTTTCGAACAATGCTGGCGCTGCCGGGAAAGGCGGGCTTTCTAGTTTAACTGAGGCCGGACAGGTCAATAGGCTGATCCTCTCCTACCTTGGGAACAACAAGGCGCTGGAGAAGAAGTACTTGACAGGAAATATTGCCATTGAACTGTGCCCTCAAGGGACATTGGCCGAGCGCTTACGTGCCGGAGGGGCCGGAATCCCCGCGTTTTTCACTCCCACGGGGGCTCGTAAGTCTTAATCATCATCTACAGATTCATCGTTTTGATTATAGCTTTGCGGATCTTTCTGATTGGGTTGTTTTTTGCAGATACCTTGCTACAGGATGGAGAGATTCCGGTCCGCCTAGACACATCTGGGAAGGTGATCGAGCGTGGCAAGTCCAGAGAGACGAGGGTTTTCAATGGCAAAACATACCTGATGGAGACTGCACTTAATGGAGATGTGGCAATTCTCAGAGCCTGGAAAGCAGACGCGGCAGGAAACTGTGTTTTCCGGTGGGCATTTCCATGCCTTTTGTTAATGTAGGCCGACATGCTAATATTCTATGATGAAAGTTACACCACGAAGGCGTTTGGCCCTATCATGGCCAAGGCGGCAACACTTACCATTGTTGAGGCTGAGAACATCGTCCCTGTCGGCTCAATCGACCCCAACGACGTCGATTTACCGGGGATATTTGTTGACAGGATCGTCCCTGCAACCGACAAGAAGAGCATCGAAGTCAAGAAACTACGGTCTGATGGTGATGACAAGGCGATCAAGGCGGCGGAGGATGCTGCGACAGTCCTTCGAAACCGAATCGCTAAAAGAGCTGCTAGAGAACTCAAGCAGGGCTTCTATGTTAACCTGGGTGTTGGTACGTTAATCATCAAAAGCATGAGCGCTGGATGCTGAATGACTTGACAGGAATTCCCACACTCGCCCCCTCATTTCTGCCTGAAGAGGTAAAGGTTTGGATACAATCCGAGAATGGTATTCTGGGAATGGTAAACCAATCCCTCGGCTACGCAGGAGGAAGGAGACTGACAGTCATCCAAGGGGCCTTATCCGACAGAAGAGCAAGTCGATCCGTAAGTACCTCGGTGCCATCGAAACCTCACCAATAGCCTGTGTGTTGGCTTAACCGGTTCTGACAGGGATATCATCAATGCTGGCAAAGAAACTGTCACTCTTGTCCCCGGCGCTGCAACCTTTGACAGCAGTGAGTCGTTCGGCATGATCAGAGGGGGCCATGTAGATGTCTCGATTTTGGGGGTACGAGATACGCCTACGTTTCCAATATTGTTTTGGGTGACTGAAACTGACTGGGCGAGTAACACAGGCTTTACAAGTAAGTGCGAACGGCGACCTGGCGAACTACATGATCCCCGGAAAGGTCTTCAAAGGGATGGGGGGGGCCATGGACTTGATCTCCAACCCCGAGAAGACCAAGATTGTGGTAGCTACCAGCCATACGGCTAAGGATGGGTCTCCAAAAATCGTGGCCGAATGCAGCCTTCCTCTGACTGGGGCAAACTGTGTCAGCACCATCATCACCGAGCTCGTGAGTGGAATACCTGGGGATGACGGCGATGGTGAACATGCCGAAGGCTGACTCTGGGCTCTAGTGCGTATTCCAGGTAGACCGGATGAGGGGCGAGCTTCTGTTGACGGAGCTTGCTCCAGGCGTGGAGGTTGAGGATATCCAGAACAAAACTGGAGCGAAATTCACGGTTGCAGAACACCTGGAGCTAATGGAATAATGTGGGGTAGCTAGATGTACCTATACGAACCGAGTTCTACCTGTCAATACTAATGATCTTCCGAAATAAATACATCAATATGTCTTTTCAGTCGTACATACGCCAAGCGTTGGGGCCAAAATCAGGGATCGATCAATCTCCTTCATTCCTTCACTCCTTTATCCTCATTGCTTTGCGGGTAGCAGAATCACCCGGCTGCCTTTGGTCATAGACGTTGTGAAGCCTCATAATGGGAAATTTAATAATATACGGTAGGATCTTTATGAACTCGCTGATGGCCACAATTCTCCCCGCAGACTGGCATGAAGCATCTTGCTCGGGTTGGATATCAGGTAAGGCATCAATCATATCTGCTAGTAGATACAACCGGGTTAACTAACGTAATCGGTAAGCGAGCGGATCACGCAAGCGAGCGGATCACCTCTTACCATGGTTAAAATTTAAAAGCGATCTAAAGCCACCAAAACATGTATTTCTAGATAAAAACTAAATACGATCACGATTTAGACACTGGAACCTTCTATGCCCAATAACATGGTAATCACTACATCGTGGGGGCGCCCGTACGCGAGGCTGTAATATATCTAGTGTATCTGGTTCTTGTATAACAAGCCTGGTCTATATAACCTCTTCTATCTAATTCCTGCTTTGTACGAGAGCATGCCCTTCTTTAATTAAGAGGCCTTCTGTAGAAGCAATCTGTGTTTTTAATTATTTTCTTTTTTAAAGCTTTTTTTTTTATATATAGTCCATAAATCCTGGTTTTTCTTTACAAGAATAGTAGCTCCATTAAAAGCTATTTCAAACTTCTTAATAAGCTGATTTTATATTATTTTTATTAGATTAGAAGAACTTTATATATAATTTCACAAGAGTTTTTCAATTATAGATACTTACTTATCTAACTACTTAAGATTATACGGTGTTTTAGATGCAAAGATAGTTAATCAATTTAGAAATAGTGTAAGAATCTTTAAACATATATTCAGCTATGATAGTACATGTTCTAGCTATAAAGGAACTAGTCTAGTTACTGCAAAGCTATTCTGAATATTCTTTAGCTTAAAGTCTTCTGTACGGGTGTTAAAATAAACTTTAAGAAAGTTAAGCTTGTTAATATAGTTAAAATCAAGCTATATCTGATTTTTAACTAGTTGCCTGTACGCATGCTTTAAAGGTACAAAATATCTAATATTAAGAGACTATAAAAGATATAATGAGTATATTAATATATAGATTAATATGATATCATGTTTTATATATATCTAGTTAAATTAGAGAGTTAAATAACTTCTATAATCATTAAGAATTAATAACCAATATCTACCAGTTATATGGCTAGTAGTTACTAGGATACAGAGTTTTTAAAGCCATTTGTCAAACCCTAGGATCGCTTCTCCCTGTTCCTGTTAGCTTAGCTCCCGTTCCAATACGTACCTTCGAACTGAATCGAGGCAAGTCAGGCTAATGACTATCTAAGGTGACTGGTCCTGAACAAGAGAAGAGAAGTAAGGCCAGATAGTGCCGCGTAGCTATCCGTAAGTAAGTACAGATGAGTATTATTATTAAGCTTTACCAAAATATATGGTTACTTAAAGACAGTGTTATTGAGCACGAAGAACAGAACTAGCTAAGTATATGAAAGAGTGTTCTTATATCCTATTTTTTATATACTATATCATATATTATTCAGGATAGATTAAGGATTAATCTAATCATGTTTCTAGATTCCAGTATACCTTCCATATACTCTTGATAATAGATCTGATAGTAGATGATTATATAATACAGTGCTACTCCGGACGTTACTCAGACCGGGATTCTACTTGATAAGAGCTGTTGATTGCCTGAGTCCTGTCTTATTATCACTTTTCTGCTTATCCAGTCTGTTCTACTAGTAATCTGGCTAACAGGGATCTGTAACATCACTCTTCCTTCTTCAAGGTTTCTTATTCTTAAGAGATATAAAGATACATGTCTCTTTTATATATTGGTTAAGTTTTCTCAGTCTTTCTTTTCTTATGATGAACCAATATATCTTATTATTATACTAATCATGATCGGGTGAAGGAGTGTATTTGCTAGTTTAATAAGATCTATAAGAATAGTTTCATTATTAAGAGTTTCTATAAATATTATTTTCTAAAAATTATTTCTTATATTATAGATTTAAAGAGTTGAAATTATACTATCTATACTCATCGCGGTCAAAAATATAAAAAGCAATTTTATAATAATAGAGAATAAGATTAGTAAAAATAAAATTAATTAAATATATAAAATAAACTTGCTAAAGCTTTTACTAAACCGGCCTATATTATTATCAAAATAGCTTATTTATTTAAGTAACAACAGTTCCTAAAAGATCATGATAAATAGATATTAGATCATAACTTAAATATATTAGAGTAATTAGATAAGAAGGATTCTCCAAGCACTGAGAATCTTTAAGAGCTAGAGTGTCTGATTAATAAGTATGATACTACTTAACTTGCTGCTGTGTCAGACAATTCTAGCCTAACTTAGTTAGTTAGTTTCCCTTCTTTCTGGACAAACTTTAACCTGTTTATTAATAATATTACTCCATAAACTGATAATAGCCTGTCAAATTCTTGATAGGTTTCTACATGTTTTCTGAGATATTATATCCTTTTTATTTTACTAAGTATTATAATCTGCCACTAATCTTCTTGTGATTTAGGATCTTTTTAACTTTATATTCTTATTCTGTATTGTTGTTAATCTTCATATTTTCTGTAATTCTAGCATTCTTTAGTACAGGTTTTAATAATGAAATATAAAATACTAGATGAATTTTATTTATTAATTTTAGTAATCTTAACTTATAGTTGACCAGTCTCTTCTTATCTTTAATAAAAATAGTCCTAGCTTGTGATAGTCAAGTTTCTGACTTGATTATGTTATCTTAATATTTCTGTAAAGTAAGAATACTTTCTTTCTCTTTTTTAGATCAGGTTTCTGTCAAACCCTAGGATCGCTTCTCCCTGTTCCTGTTAGCTTAGCTCCCGTTCCGATACGTACCTTTGAACTGAATCAAGGTAAGTCAGGTATTGACTATCTAAAGGTGACTTGATCTGAACAAGAGAAGAGAAGTAAGGCCAGATAGTACCGCGCAGCTATCCGTAAGTAAGTACGGACAAGTGTTATCACTAAGCTTTACCAAAACATATAGTTACTTAAAGACAGTTATATTGAGCATGAAGAACAGAACTAACTAAGTATGCGAAGGAGTGTCCTTATATATCCGTTCCCTGTATACCTTTCTATATACCATCAGGTTTATCGTATACCCACTTAGTAGTTATAGATCATGATGGTATGTTATATATTACATACTTGTCTGTATACTATGGTCACATGATCCGTGTCATCTGATAGTTTGGGTCAGGATTTTCTTTGATAAGAGCCCCCTTCTGTCTAGATATGGCCTTCTGCCTGATATACCCGCCTTACTAGTTGTTCAGCTAGCAGGGGTCTGTAACACCATCTTCCCTTCTTCAAGGTTCTTATCCTTAAGAATATAAAGGTACGTGTCCTTCATCCAGGTCAACTGAGTCCTTTGGTTTTCTTTTTTCTCAAGATAGATCATTATATCTCTGTATAATTATTATAAGAAGTACTGTTATTAGACTGACTGGATTATTTGTAACAGTATCCAGGTCAGCTTTTCTTATACTTAATATAATTTCTACAGTCTTTCTTATTTTATAGATTCTAAAAACCGAAATTATGCAGCCTGCACTCGTCATGGCTGAAAATATAAAAAGTAATTTCACAATGATTCTGAGTGGGATAAGCTTTAATATAATAAAGAAAAGATAGCTCAAGAGATTGAAGAGATCAAAGAGTAGATTAAGCTATTATTTACAAAAATGAAGCGGTTGCGAGAACATTACAGATTTCTGAAGGATTATGGTAATTAGATGTTAGATCATGACTTGAATGTGTTAGAGTAACTAGATAATGAGGATTCTCCAAGCACTGAGGACCTCTAAGAGCTAGAGTGTCTGACTAATGAATATAATGTTACTTAACTTACCGCTGCGTCAGACACTCCTAGTCTAACTTAGTTAGTTAGTTCCCCTTCTTTCTAGACGAACTTTGACTTGTTTGTCAGTGGTACTGCTTTATAAGCTAGTAATAGCCTGTCAAATTCTTGATAGGTTTTTATGTGTTTTCTGAGGTATCATATTCTTCTTATTTTACTAGATATTATGATTTATTACTAATCTTTCTATAGTCTAGGATCTTTTTAACTTTATATTCTTGTTCTGTGTTGTTGTCAATCTCTATATTTTCTGTGATTCTAGTATTCTTTGGTATGGGTTCCAATAATAAGATATAAAATACTAGATAAATCTTGTTTATTAATTTTGGTAATCTCAACTTGTAGTTAACCAGTCTCTTCTTGTTTTTAATAATAAATGATTCTAGCTTGTGATGATCAAGTTTCTGATTTAGTTGTTTTATCTTGATGTTTCTGCGGAGTAGAAACACTTTCTTTCTTTTTTTTAAATCAGATTTTCTTTTATATTTATAATTATAGTATATCTTACTATACAAGTTTATAAACTTAATATTTTAGAATAACTGTAGATATATATTTCCTGTAAATATAACAATATCTTTAGCTATATCAGTAACTTGCTACTTCTCTAATGGCGTTTCTAGAAATCTTGGATGATATCTGTAATTAGTATAAAATAATAAGACCCTAAAAATTAAGTAACTAGTATTATTATATAAAAATTGTGTTATTAATAATAGATTTATTTAATTATCTTACTGATAGTTTATATAATGCTTCAGATATTGCTTAATTATCTGATTAATTCTTTCTATTTATCTATTTATCTGTAGATGATAAGCTGTTATTATTTATTCTTTAATTTTCATAAGATCTGCGAGTGATCTCCAGAACTTCAAGATAAATAACTTGTCTTAATTTAATATGATGTACTTTGATATCTTATAATATATAATAATATTTTCTAGAAATAGTTCTGTCATCTGTATTACTGTTATTATTATCTTACTCAGTATAAGATAG